TTCAAAGTTATTATATTCTCTGATTACGTGTAAGAGAGAAAATACATTACACATCATAGAAAAAAGACATTTTATTAATTTTTCTTCTTACTTAATTATGAATTTATGTTATTAGAACATGTCAAAGAGTCATTGAAAATATTTTTTTATAGAATAAAAGTGACATTACTTTTTCACTCTTGTGGGTGCTGTGGCACTTGAATATTTACATCTATCCTCTATTAAGTATCAAAATGCAGATGCGTTGTTATCTTAATTAGTCTTTAGGCTGAGATGGAATACCTCATTACCTGTCTTCGTTTCTCTACACTCAATATGCGAAATACGGCAGCATTATTCTGCTGTTGAAGCCTACTCATTCGTGTTGCAGCCATAATATAGTTGCAGAGTGGTGCTACCACGTTTAATGTTTTCGCGTCTAGAGCTCTCCTTAAATTGTTTAATAATAATAATAATTTTATTTCAGACCATGGTCCATACATTGTTAGTAAAGTTGTTAGTAACAATATTGACTTAAAACTATGTTAGTATTGTAAGTAATTACATATTATTTTAATCCTATGACTATGCCCACCCAGTGATTCTGTATGGGACAGTCATATCTTAGAGATATCGCTCTCAGGATGCTGTTATTACTGTTTCTTAAGCGTTGCAAGAGTGAGGCTGTTTTCTTCCGAATGATCGCTGGAAAAGTGTCAGTACGCGCTTGCTCAAACATACCTGACGCACTGCAATGCCACGGCAGCCGCAACAACATCCCGAAAGCGTTATTATACTGTACGGGCAGAGCATTGTAAGCTCGACGCGTATATGTCACCCACAGGGCACTAGAGTAAAATGATTGACAAAACGCTTTGAAAATCGTTATTTTAACTGTATCTGTATATCTAGTGAACCTGCGAGCAAGCATATTGGCTCTCACTGTCAACGCCCTGCGCTCCCTTTCTATGTCCTCGTCATCCCGGAGGTCTGCTGTCACAATGTGTCCCAAATATTTAAAACTATCCACCAGCTTTAGAGGCACCCCATCGAGGGCTACTGGAGGCACACGGGTGGGCTGATGTTTGCCTGCTTTGAACACAAGAAGTTGGCTTTTGTTAGCGTTATATTTAAGCCCATGTGCCTCCGCATATGGCTCACATATTGACAATAAAGTCCTTAGTGCATTGATTGAGGGACTCAGCAGCACCGTGTCGTCAGCATAGCTTATAGTATTGAAGCAGATATCATCAATATGACAGCCGACATGAGTACTACTGAGTCGCTCAATAAGCTGATTGACATACAAATTAAACAATAGAGGCGAGCTTAACCCTCCCTGTCTTACACCACATTGCAGTCTATATTCATTCGAAAGAGTACCGGCCCATCTCACTTGATTTTTCTGGTTTGAACACCAGAATTTGAAGAGGGAGATGCACACCATCGGCACACCCGCAGATGCCAACTGCTCCCATAAGCGGTCATAAATTACGCGATCAAAGGCTTTTGACAGGTCGAGGAAGCAAGCGTATACTGGAGTCCTTCTCTTCGTATACTAGTTTACAGTATGCTTCAAGCTCAGAATAGCACTCTCGGTTGATAATCCGGCTCTAAACACGAACTGGGCACCATTCAGCTTCACATGTTTTTCGAGATTGCTATTCAACAGACTGTCAAGCAACTTAGATGTTGTTGTAGCAAGTGAGATAGGCCGATAATTATTTTTATCAGATGTGTCACCAGTCTTATTTTTAAGGATCGGTACCACAATAGTGCGCATTAAAGCCTCAGGTAAGTAAGAGTGACATAGACATAAAGAACATCGCGAGTACGCGCGGTAGATGCACCCCAGCGTACTTAAAATGCTTGATGCTGAGACCATCGTGACCTAGCGATTTGCCCCTCTGCATGTTTTTTATAACTGTCGATACATGTTTTGCTGAGAAGGACACCTTAAGTTCCGTCACAATGGTCGCATCATCGTTACATCATTACATTACAAGAAACTGGATCCGAGGGCGACTGAACACTAAAATGCTCGCTGAATAAATCGGCAATCATCTTATGATCGTGAACGCCGCCGACACTCACAGGAAGCGTAGGTTTTACATTTATTTTATTGGTGTTTTTCCGAAAATTTTTGAAATTTTTAGCCGAATAATTTGAAGCAAGTAAATCCATTTGTAATTGCTCTTGCCTATCTTGGCACCATTTTAACTTTGATTTAAATTTTTTACGTGTTTCTAACATTTCATTATAAATATTGCCAATTTTTAGTTTACCTGCCAATAACCACATGAAATTTAAGTCTAGCCTGCCTGTGCGCGCCAGCAACGTATTTATTCCACCCAGTGACATAACTTTTATTTCTTGTACATTTTCTTTTAACATAGTTCTGCGAAGCAGATACCGACAGAATACTAACAATTTCCTTATACAATTTGTCTAATATTAAGTAATGACTTTTATTACTACATTAATAATCACAGCATTGGTCTAACTCTAGCGAAAATTCGATATTCTTTAGTTTAGAATGACACAGTTCATGATATTTATTTATCTGTGCCAACTGTCTATCTCCCCATATCATACAGTTTTTGGACTCGCCTATTGGAACATCAATTACAACTTTCTGATTTCATTTGTCTAAGTCACATTCAATTATGAGCGGAGAGTGGTCCGACCAATATACGTCATGTTTCACCGACACTTTATTAATCGTCGTCCGTGCAGATTGAGTGACTATACAGTGGTCTAACCATCTCTCACACCCATGTACATCGTGTTAGACTGAAGCCCTAACATATCAATGTCCGCGCAGTACCACGTGTGATCATAACAGAAATTAATTAATTCATTATAAAATATTTCCGTTGGATGCGCATTAAAGTATCCAAGTAAATAAAATGCCTCCACACCACAATTCTCTCCCACTTCAATAATAGATTTTATTAAACTAAGGCATTTTGTAAATATACATAGGTTTTCGTTGCAGTTTGTCGGCATGTAGACGCTAAAAATTACTACGGATCTATTACTTACAGTTATTTTAATAGCCGCTGTCCGAGAATTATCACAATTTATCACAGACACTGTTTGAAACACACTTTTCCTCCATAACAACGCAACACCACCGTACGGTCTACCAGTAAGTAGGCCAGCAGAGGTGTTGATTGCCGACGTTCCCGTAGCACCAAAATCACTGTCAATTGTGTTCAGTAAGGGCAATTCGTGTGGCAGAAGCCAGGTCTCCTGTAAGGCTATTACGTCGGCTGAGCGACATAATTCCCTAACGCCTTCGAATGACCTCTTGATCGATTTGCAGTTGAAACTTATTAATCGAGAATAATTTTTATTATCGTTATCCATTATATTGTATATATATATATATATATATATATATATATATATATATATATATATATATATATATATATATTAAAATTGTATTTGCTCTATGTGTGTGACACCGCGAAAAAATGCACCTCCTTTCATCGAATAGTATAGGAGTATGACACGACTAACGAAACTGGAATTTTGATATACCTAGGTAAATTCATGTCTTTATCTTGAGTTTGCTTGCTCAAAAACACGATTGTAAAATTTTGACTCGATCATAATTATTTGCGAAATCACCTCTAAAATATCACTTTAGTTGAAATTACAACGAAATTACTTAATCTATATGCTTGGAAACCACTCGAATACATTCATAACATCAATATTCGTAATTTACTTGCTCATTATTTTGATTGCTAAGATCAATAATTTTTTTAAAATATTTTAAGATTCTACGCGATTTCTAAGCGGTTTTAATAGTCGCGGGCGCTACGCCATTTTAGACCTTATGACGGCGTTTTTGAAGTTTTTATAGAAATTATGTTTTACTCTGGTTAGTCCGGCGATAGCCCGCTTCAACGGTTTTCGCGGTGTCGCCTTAAAATAAACTAAAGTAACATTTTAACAGCCTATAATGTTACGAGCACTGATTTCCTTATTTCATTTGTAAGACCTAAGAAGGTTTTAAAATAAAGAAAGAGTCGGCCGCGCTGCTGTTAGCGGAATAAGTATGTATTCGAGATTATTTTCAGTTTATCAGACGTGCAGCTATACTAACCATATTTTTCTTTACTGCTGATAACGTTATAAATCAGCTTTTGAAGTTGCAATTAATATAACATAGGAGTGAAATAACATGCCAAACTCTGCTTTTCCATCCAATTACTATGTGTCTTTGTGGCAAGAGTGAATATCCTATTATGTTAAGTCAGTGCACTTTACCATCTTTTGCTGCATCAAATCATATTACCACTTACCATCAAATGATAGATGATAGCCTGGTCTAACAGAAATAATTGTCTAGGACTGGTTTATAATAGTTAAAGAAATAAAATTCCAGTGCCAGTCAAGACCCTGGACGCGAAGAAGAAGAGCGTGGTCCATACGCTTTATTAAAGAACTACGTACCGGTTTCCCCTCTGAGCCGTGTGTTTTGTGTTGTGGAAGACTTTCATAACACACCGTGTCTTGAACAAGCGGTATCCAAAAAGGTGTTAGTACCATAGACCACATACACAACATAACAGCCTTCGGCAAATTATACAGGAGACGGAAGAGTACAATATTCAGTAGTGGGTTTGTGAAAGACTGTAATAATGTTAATGGCGCCGGTGGTGATCAATATCAGTTTGTTCGCGTACTGTGAAATTTAAATATTCAGCTACCAACTTACGAAAGAAAACCTTAATAGCAACAACGAAATGTCGATAACAACATATCACAAGGTTGTGTGACATGTGAAGATATTAAATATAAAAATATCAAAAGCTATTTTTTATTTAGATATCACATTAACGTTAGAAAGTTATTACTATAAATATACAAACAGTTCAATTAGTGCATATATACACTTAAGTGTAGTTCCTGCTTCTATCTACCACTGTCTCTGATATTGTTCCATATTAGTTCACTTTGTACAACTGGTGATAATTCTTATTGATATTCAGTATTTGTTGGGTTCACAGTTTAGCCTTCACTTGTCTAACGTAAATAACAGAATGTCCGGGTGGGTGCCTCTGCGTTGGTCGTACGTTTCTTTCGATCGGTATACAGTCTGGTCCCTCCAATTGCCTCAAGAGTCCCAGCTGCGAAACAAAAGAAAATCTGTAGATAAATTGTCGTTCGAATCATTAAAAATGGGCATTTCAGAAAATTGTTGCTTATTTTATTTTCAATATTACATATATCACGAAATGTGTAAAGTTTTAATATATTTAATATTTATAAGGAATTAAATTAAGAAATTATTAAGGCTTCAGAAGTAGGTTTCTGCTTTACTTTTAAACTGTTAAATAGGTTTTCTGACGACAATAGAATACTGGAAACGGCAGTGTAGGATCTTCTGCAACTAGTTATCCTTGATAAGTCTTTAGTAAATGTAGATATAGGTGTTTTAGACCCGCTTATAGCGTGGTATTAATTTGCTATAGAAAATATTAGGTGGTGGGATGAGATTTCTATGTATATTATGATGACGATGATGATGTTTATAGCAAAAAAAAATCGGTTGAGTCTAGTTCTTTATCAACCTGTAATAGTTTCTTCTGGAACGTGACCACATAGCATCCTGGTTTACTAACTGGATTATTACAATTGGGTTAGCGATCAGATGCCTTTCGTCTTTGACGTTGCCGTACACAGACTGAATAATTTATCTCCCTTTGTATTTAATACTAACCTGTTCGGCTCCAATTTGCACAGGCTTCTCATATATAATCCAGGTAACACATTCAGTATATGGAGGTGTTGTTAATGATCCCTTGTAGGTAACGTAGTTTCCGCTACTTAGATCTTCTCTGTTCATCCACGCTAGTGACTCTGTTAAAGATAAATAGAACTTTTTACACACATTGAAGCGACAGTAGCCTAATGCCTCCTCTACACTATTCGCAAAGTAACTTCAACGAAGTGCTCGTCGAAGTCGATAGCAGTCCGAAGAACGTGACTACACACTCGTACTACTTCGCGAAGAGCTCAGCTCAGTCGTCTTGAGTCTCCCGCACCCTTAACATGAATAACGTTCAAGAGGCAGCTGCTATAGGTTCCTGATTGTGTGAACAGTATGACGTCTACGCGTTAATTAAATAAATAATTATGTAGAAGGCTGCATATTTAATCTTTATATATAAAAATTACGTGTCACATTGTTTGTCCGCGATGAACTCCCAAAATATTGAACTGATTTCAATGAAATTTTGCACACTGTGCTCAGTTTGGTCCAACTTGAGAGATAGGATACTTTTTATCCCGATAAATGACCTTCAATATTTTTTATTGCGAATTTAAGGATTTTTTTATGGGAAGGGTTGTCGGAAAGGGCAGAACAACGTCTACCTGGCCAGCTAGTATTTATATATAAAAAGAAAAGATTCATAACTGACGTATGCCGAGTAGTGTAGTGAGATGCTTCGTGTAACTTCGGGGTACTTCGCTCGGGATACTACCTCGAAGTTACACGAAGAGTCTCACTACACTACTCGGCTTACGCCAGTTATGAATATTTTTTTATATATATAAATATTAAATATATAGATTTCTACATAATTATTTATTTAGTTAACGCATTAACGTCGTACTGTTCACACAATTAGGTACATAAAGCAGCTCCCTCTTGAACGTCATTCATGTTAACGGTGCGGGAGACTCAAGACGACTGAGCTCTTCACGAAGTAGCACGAGTGTGTGGTCACGTTCTTGAACCACTTCTAACACAATAATTTTAGGCTTACCAGGAGTGGTTAAAGGGAATATTAGTAATGTTAATAGCATTGCTACTAGGTATATTTAAAAAAAAACATGAAAAATTTCACTATACACTTGTATATATTTAACATTCATTTATTAAACCGTAAGAATTTAATTATATTATTGGAAAGTAATATTTCGTAACAAATATTTTAAATGTATTGTTGCTAAATTGTTGATACTGCATTCCATCCTGGAATTGTTATAAATACATATTTTCGTTTTAGTGCTTTTCATGTTTCAATAAGAGGTTAGGTACACGAACGTTGCGGTGGCAGTACCAGACAACTTTTCGATGACTTATAACTATCCGCTTATAGATATCAAGGAATATATTATAATCACTACGTTTTACGTTTACGCTTTTTACATACGTTAAATAATGTATTCGCATATTAGATTTTTAACAATTATTTAAAATAACAACGGCTACTTTAGCATTGAAATAGTAATCTAAATAAATAAAATAAATACAAATTTATTTGATTTGACAATGTCATTGATAGACAATATTACGAAAACTAGAAAGTAGAGATCACCGCCATTAAAATTAGCTCCCGTTTCGTACATATAATTTTTAGTTTTTACTATTGAAGTTGCTCCAGGTACCAGTCAGATAAATATATCGAATGTCCTGCAAAATATTTTAACAGACGCTTAATTGCTAGTAAATCGATATTCTACAGATTATTCAGAAAATGTTTACAAGAGCTGTGTGTACTCTTTACCTTCTCGATTTCATCCTTACGTTGTTGACTTGCTTAGAAATTTGCAAAGCATTTCGCTTCTTTTTTTATATAATAAGAGTTACAACAACGAGCACAAAGATGGTAGATGGTAGGTGGTTGCTTTGGCCCATAGATATAGACACAACTCGTACATCTGTTCTCAATAAAGAATCAAAATGCATATGCATTGTAACCCCTGGTAACTAACGGAATTAGACTGAGATCGCTTATTAACATCAGAGTTAGTTTTTTGTTTATTTTGATATTAAAAAATAAAAAACTTTATAATGTCACTGCCACAGCGCAAATTTTAACATGATTTAAAAAAATTACCTGAAGAAACTTCAACTTCTTGGTCACTTTTCTTAATCTTCTCTAAGCCTTCGACGAACTCATCAAAACTTGGGTTGGGTGCATCCACTACTTCTAAAAGGAAACCCACTACAGCAAGACCATCGGAATGCGCCACCGCCGCTTCTAAGGATTCGTATTTCGAATTATAGTGTACCAGATGGCATTCAGCTGCGTATCTGTAAAAATGAAAGGCTTGTCTCATCTGAAGTATACCTTTCAAAATCGTGATACATAATTCTATGTTTTTTTTTTGCGTGACTGCAAAGTTGTAAATAATGGTATTCAAACAAGGCTCAATGCCCAGATTTTTCTAGAAATAAAAGATTGGTTTTCGGGTAGAGATATAATGTAAAGAAACAAACCAATTTCAGGAAACTTGTCATGAAGCTTTAGTTTCAATCATCATCATTTATCTAACTGTACAAAACTAGAATACAGTTTAGACATCTCATTTTAGCAAAAAAAAAACTGTTGAAATTCATCTTGGGATTAAGACGATTTTTTATAAAACAGAAGAAGCGATCTTAAAATTCACCCGATACTAAGTGGCTACTGCAGAGAGCTTCAAACAAAGAAGGCTACAGGTACGTTGTCGCTTCTTTTTTATATAGGATAAGGGTGACGAGCGAGCACACAGTCTACCCGATGGTAAGCGGTTGCTGCGGCCCATAGACATCCACATTTAACCTCGTTTGTGAATCAAAATGCAAATGCGTTGGCAGCTGTGGGAACCAACATGGAATGCTTCTTTTCCAGTAAAAGAGTCTCCGGTTCTCCACACTCACCATACGAAATACAGCAGCACTAAGCCGCTATTCCACGCTGGTATCCTAAGAGAGCGTGGTTCTTACTCACTCGTGCTACAACCATATAATTAATATAGCTGCAGCATGGCTCTACCATGTTTATACCGAGGAATAAGATAGAATGCTTCACAACCTGTAAATGCACTGGCTTTCTATACATTTAGACCGGAACACAATAGTTCAAGCTATTTGACGTATTATATTATTCTTTAACAAATACAAAGAAACACATCGAAGCCTAAATCGCGCTAACAAAGTTCCGAAATTAAAGCATTATATATAGAACAGCTCCGAACTACAACTCGTAGCATTGGCCGCTCCCCGGGCAGAACACCTTGCCCGGCGGGAGATCTCCCCTTTTCCTTCCACCTGCCACACTTGCGTCTATTAAAATGAAGGGTTATTTAAAATAAAATAATATTTCTTTCGTGGCAAGATAAGAAAAAGTGCGAGGGATATGGATATCATTCCATCTCGCTTCCTTATAGCCGACAAGGCCGTCTAAACTACGTCAGAAGAGGTGAAGACGGAAAAATCTTACACTTTTTCTCATCTAGCGTCCATCCGCCAAATTCGTACCGTCCGATAACGAACTCCGATCCAAAAACAGGTGAGTGGTATACCTACCCAGATGAACTTCTAGGCAGGAAAGTAGTCATAACACCTAGAAATTTTAAATGTTTCGCACGAAGTAATTAAAAGTTGCCGTGTAGTGACGCCGTAAGAGAATCCACTATCTCATATCATACCATCGTGAAACACGTTTCTAGTAGGGGAGCCCCCATTTATTTCAATATATTTTTATTTTTATTATTTGTTGTTATAGCGTCAACAGAAATACCCATTCTGTAAAAATTTAAACTGTCTACACAGTTAGACAGTTAGACAGCGAGGCTTAGTAATAGAGCCCTGTTGGTTACCCTTTGGGTACTGAACCCTAAAAACGCCATTTTTTATTGTATTGAGTTGCAAAGCGTGACAACTATGATAAAACCTCCTAGGAGGCAATGTAGAAGGCCTAAAGATACGATACGAAGATAGTATCTTTAGGCCTTATAGAAGGGACTTTTAGCAGTGAATTTGTAATGCCCGGTTTTTTTTATAGGATAAGGGTGACAAACGAGCACACAGTCCACCTGATGGTAAGTGGTTGCTGCGGCCCATAGACATCTACCCTCTAATAATCAAAATGTAGATGCGTTGTCACCCGTGAGGACTAAGATGGAATGCGTCATTTCCAGTAAAAAGGGCCTCCGACCACCTGCACTCACCAAGCGAAACGCAGAGGTAAACCTCTACTTCACGCTGGTTTTCTGTGAGGTCGTGGTACCACCCCGGTTCGAGCCGGCAGCAAAAGCTGCCGCGTGGTTCTACCACTGTTTGAAACCACCACTGTTTCTGAAGTTCCTAGTTATCTTCCCATTAGCTATTGATTCAATAAAGTTATCTATAGGATAAAAGTCGGTTAACTGCACTGGGTTTCTGAATACGCAACGAATCGTTCAACAACTATGAAACCATTAACAAGTACCATAATTTGCCGCTAGATGGGTCTGATTACGACATCGAGTCTAAAATTGATTTTTTAATTTCAATTCTTCATTTATACTAGTATTATTTATTTATTATTTATAAAATATATTTTTTTGAGGCCAAATAAGAGGATATGCACTGTTTTAGTAATAAAATATGATAATTCCATATTTGTCAGAAACTGTATGAATGACATCATTGTATTGTCAAATTGTTAAAAAAGAAAACATCAAACTCATTGCTTTTATTCGAATGTGGTTTTTTTTTCATAACTTTGTGATTTTAAGTTTAGTGGTATTTACTATCGTTTTTGAATCATCCAAAACATTATGGAATCGGGAAAACGTAATAAATTTTTTTTGAAAGAGAGAAGAGTACTCGTATTCATTGCACTTCTATTAATAATTATTTTATCCCTTGTATATTTTAGTATTTAGCGCCCACTGGCAATTTATTTTAATAATAACACGCTATAACCTAAAAGTTGATGTAGGATACCTTGAAATTAAACGTCAAATAAAGTTATAGAACCGATAAACGGCACATATTGGCCAGTTAAATTAAACTTAGCTTAAACGGAGTTTATCTTACATTGCGATGTTCGGAAACGCACTTTCACAAGTTATCGAACCAATAGCGCTAACGAATAGATAAACTGCCGATAAAAGTACCTCAGAAATCGAGCATAAATGAATTATGTGTGTATTATTAAATGAAATGAATACTACACCGAAAGTAATAGAAGGTTTCGCATAAGTGGGTTGCCTATTGAATTACGGACACAGGATAGTATTCTCGTATAGAAATCCTACAAAGTTAAAAGAGTCGGAGATCAACACTAAACGATATAAATTTATTTTTCCTTAATATAATATGACTACAGACCTGATACTGAAACATCTCTTCTTACTCCGCGCGAGTAATAAATAACGTCACTGTAGTTGTCACATATAATTAACTAAAAGTTTATTTGTTTCAAATTAATAGCACTGTAACTGCAAATGAGTAAATAACTACAGACTGATGTAATATTTTACTATTTGTTGACGTTAAAACGCTATAATTAATTCATCTATCTATTCAATGTCCCAACTCAAATAAAATATTCCTATATCTTTATACTCGTATATAAAAATCACGTTGTTTGTCCGCGATGAACTCCTAAATTTTTTTTATAGGAGAGGCGGCATACGAGCTTGCGGCTCACCTGATGGTAAGTGACTACCGCCGCCCATGAACAACCGCAACACCAGGGGAATTGCAGATGCGTTGCCGTAAAAGTCGTATCGCTCCGGAAAAATCGCCGGTGGTAAACTATTCCACAAGGAAGTTGTGCGTGGAAGAAAACATCTTCTAAATCGCACAATGGTGGACCGCCAATCATCCAGATGGTGTGGATGGTATTGGGAGATCTGCCGCGATGTGCGTTCGTGAAATTTGGAGGCTGGGATTAATCCGAACAATTCCTCAGAGCACTCCCCGTGGTAAATGCGAAAGTAAATGCAAACAGATGCAACATCTCTTCGCAGCGCCAATGAGTCAAGCCGATCGGAAAGAACTCGGTCGTCGACGATTCGAACCGCTCTGCGCTGGATGCGGTCAAGTGGAAGGAGCTGGCACTGGGGAGCCCCATCCCAGAGATGGGAACAGTATTCCATGTGAGGCCGAACCTGCGCCTTGTAAAGTTGCAGGCGTTGTGCCGGCATGAAATACTGTCCCGCTCTGCTGAGCACTGGTGTTTATGCAAATACTCAGAACTAGAAAGCTCTGTGACGGCAACAGACGGCTCCAGCTCAGCAAAAAAGTGATGCATCCATATCGACGCTAACCCTAAAGTTTCTTCTCCTTTTGCCTCGCAATGCGTTTGTGTTCATATTTTTTGTTCAACACAAGCGGCGTCCTCCACCAGCGGCAGTGATGCTTGCAGAGTCCAAAATGACCCTTACACAAGCCAACCCATCAAGTGGGGTGATGAATGTAAGGGACTGCTAGGAGGCCGTGCTTCCAGCGTACATCCTTCACCTCAAGAAGAAAGGGACGCAACGCAACACTCATTTTGACGAAGATTATAGTACGTAAAAAACAGCTAACTTTTAATAAAAAGTAAAACCCGACTTAAAAGTACTGAAAAGATTAAAATTAATCCCACACAATAGCTTCAGAAATCGGTACTAAGACATAATGTATAGAAGAATTAAATTTAAATCTCGACTTCGGAAGTTATTAAGTTGAAATTATTTACATTCTATTTAGTACTTTGAAGTCGGATTTTACTTTTTATTAAAAGTAATTTTGAATGTATCTTTTCCTTTTCAAAGTACCCTTTTGAGTGGACTAAGAAATATCACATGCTCAAGGTAAGAACAAAGCTGTCGTCTAAATAGTTACATTAAATATTCACCTCTTATTTTCCAAATACTTTATGAGGTTTTTTTTTCTCTAAATTTATAAGGAAGCGCTCCTGAAATATAACCTGTTTAAAAAATAATTGACGACTAGCGATACGCCCCGGCTTCGCACGGTCGATTTATGGATCTCAACAACAACGCCACCTACCGGGTACAATTGTACATCCAAACCATTCTCTAATCAACTTAATCACACACACAAAATTTTATCAAAATCGGTCCAGCAGTTTAGGTGTTCAGTCACATACACATCCACAGAAGAATTATATAATATATTATATGCATGTATTTTTTTTATAGGATAGGATAACAAACGAGCACACAGTCCAGCTGATGGTAAGTGGTTGCTGTGGCCCATAGACATCTACATCTATCCTCGTTTGCGAATCAAAATGCAAATGCGTTGTCACTCGTGAGGACTAAGATGGAATGCATCTTTTCCAGTAAAAAGGGTCTCCGGTTCTCTACACTCACCATACGAAACACAGCAGTATTAAGCTGCTATTTTATGCTGGTATTCTGTGAGAGCGTGGTCCTTCCCCGGTCGAGCCGACCCATTCGTGCTACAACCATACTATTAATATAGCTGCAGCAAGGCTCTACCACACGTAAATGATTATACATATGGTATAACCTTTCACTTGAATTGTTCTGTGAATTGATGAAAACTCCATCAAAATCCATTGCGTAGTTTAAAGATCTAAGCGTACAGACGGCGGGAAGCGACGTTATTTTATACTATATACTCGTAAATAGAGAAGTTACGCGTAATATATGTACGTGCAAAAAAACTCGTAGTCTTATTGAGTACCACTTCCATTTCTAAAATCGGCTAAAAAGTATAAAATCCCGCGATGTGGACGGCATGAACTTCTCGCTTGTAAATAGTTTTAATAATTATATTGCTTTCAACTCAAATAATACGCATATTATGAATGCCGTGTAACGCGAGCAAATAAATCCTCCAGTATAGAGATACCTATAAGTAGAAAAACTACAAGCAAATTTCCTTCGTAAACGCACCACACACTATTCATGAGTGATGCTGTCTTATCATCTTGATATCGAATTTGATTGAGAAGAATTATTAGAGATTAGCGTTATCTCTTAATGTACAAGTATTCAGCTGTAACTTGTAATTTATTATCTTATACGGTCTACTACATCTAAACATAAATCAGATAACTAATTGAAGTGTTCGCTTGCGATAAATGCTTGTACTACATACGTAGTGTATTAATATAATATTATATAATAATAAATAACTTTAGTAAGATATATTTAATTGTGACTGTTTAATTTCACGAAGCGGGGCCGGTTCACATTGTAAAAACTAACATTCCAGTGACCTATTTAAGGCGTCGTCATCATGAGGGCTAATAATTTTCTGCTCACCAGATGTCGCTAGTTGACGCTGAGGTAAAGTTTTTTTTGTTACGCAATGTAAATTAATTAAGAAGTTGTTTTTTTAATAAAAGTTTATCAGTTTCTAGAGTATTATATTAATATACAAAACAATGTGTCAGTGGTTTGCTTTTTAATTTTTTGCACATTTTTAACTTTTTTTTTAATTTTTCTACTTTTATGAATATCTGTGGTTAGGTTTATTTATTTTTAATGTTATTAATATAAAATATAGCTAATAGTACAAAAAGAAACAATAACTTTTACATTTTCCGAACAATTGGTCACGCGTCATCGCGCGAGCGCGCGATCTCTGCAACGCAAGGGGTGGTGGGCGAGGGGCAAGGTTTTTTTCAATGTCATTTCCAATTTTCAAAGCAATATTGCAGCTCCGCGATGTTAGAATTTCGATTGACCAATTATACCATCTGAAACGTCAGAAATTGGTCATAAAAGGTCAGTCGGTCTTATTAATTGGTCAGCGTTAGAATTTTTTTTATTAAGGGTTATAGTTTTTCAAGATCATTGAGAAATTTTAGCACCTCATTCGCGAAAAAAAATAAAAAATTCCACCTATGTGCGATCGAGAAGCATTCGCTGATAATTGGTCAGCTTGTATAAATATTTGGTCAGTTAAATTTAATATTAAAAATAATTAAATAAGTTGGTATTGTCGTAACGCGCATGCTTTGGGACGGTTAACTGTACCAGGGCAGTGAGCACTTACGGAAGCTCTTTCCTATGAGCGAGACGGGGGGGGGGGGGGGGGGGGGATATTTTTTATATTTTTTTTAAGAAAAAAAAACTTAGACTTTTTCTACTATCAAATATAATAATAGTGGAGAAAGAAATAGGATATTTTTTTAAACTACGTGAAGGTGAAAATGCATGCATGGGATTTGGTGGATGATACTTAACTATTTTATTTTATAATAATTTTATATAAACATGATTTTTAGGGTACCGTACCTCAAAAAGAAAAAATGGAACCCTTATAGGATCACTTTGTTGTCCCTCAGTCTATCTGTCAAGACCCTTTTTCTCAGGAACGCGTGGAGGTATCAAGCTGAAAATCATTTCAAATACTCAAGTCTACTGTCCCTACGAGCTGAACTAAGCAAGCTGAGCAAACTTCTAAGTCAACACAATCAAAAGATACAGCCGTTTATGCCGCGAATTTTCGACATTCGCAAGGGAATCAAAACCTACTTCCCGTGAACTCAGAATCTTGAAATTTGGTACAAAGCAACGTTTTATAGAACAGATAAAGGAAAAATTGTGAAAAGCATAAATTTTTAGTTACATCATATAATAAAAATATTTTTAATAATTTTAAACTTATACGCTTACGGATTTGTTCGGACCTCTAGGTGCGCGAGTCCGACTCGCACTTGGCCGGTATTTTTAAATTAGAAATATTTTATTTACATAAAAAATTACCATGTAAATTAATTTCTAAAATATATTTATTATAATTTAAGTTTTTCAACTCTAACTTTATATTAATACTCTAAAATATATAAGTACAAAGCTGCTTAAAACAATAGCAAATCATAACTAAACAAAACAAAATTTAACTGCCATTTAAATTCCATGACTTCCCACATGATAGATGAAGAGTTTTAAAAATAGATTGAGTTACAATTAACCGTCCCAAATCATGCGCGTTACGACAATGCCAACTTATTTAATTTTTTTTTAATATTAAATTTAACTGACTAAATACTCGTATTTATACAAGCTGACCAATTTTATCAGCTAATGCTTCTCGATCGCGGATATTTTTTATTTTTTATTTTTTTCGCGAATGAGGTGCTAAAATTTCTCAATGACCTTGAAAAAGCTTAACCCTTAATAAAAATGTTTCTAACGCTGACCAATTAATACGATCAACTGACCTTTAATGACCAATTTCTGACCTTTCAGATGATATAATTGGTCAATCGAAATTCCGCACATGAGGTGCTAACATCGCGGAGCTCAATATTGCCCGATAGTAGAAACTGTGCATCACTCTGTTAACAGCCATTGTTTAAATGGCGCAGTTGCGGTGATGGCGCGGCGGCATCGAGCGATGTCCAGCCGGCGATGGGCATCGCACGAGCTATTAGGACACCTGTTGTACCGTCGCACGATCTTCTTCATTGAGCGATGAAATGAATTTTACGTGGTAGAGCCATGCTGCAGCTATATTAATAGTATAGTTGTAGCACGAATGGGTCGGCTCGACCGGGGAAGGACCACGTTCTCACAGAATACCAGCGTAAAATAGCATCTTAATGCTGCTGTGTTTCGTATGGTGAGTGTAGAGAACCGGAGATCTGGGGGCACGGTAGTGCCCCCGCCAAGTCGACAAAAAAGCGGCACGGCCGTACCATCCTTTTCTCGAAGCAGTTCAGGCCATTTTCGAAACCCTATAACTTCGTTGTGGATAAAACGAGAAGCCTAAATTTTCATTAAACAAGTAGGAATTGTATATACTCGGTATATTTCAAATTTCATTAAATTTGAACCAGTAGTTTAAGAATTATAACTGGTCAAAGTTTCTTAATTTTGTCACTCACTGACTGATCGATCATCAAAACTCTAAGGCACTTCTAGCAGACCTAGAAGCTTCAAATTTGGAATACAATTATTGTTTAATATATAAATCAAGGAAAAATTAAAATATTTTGCAACTTCGGTCCAGTTTTCGAGATACACCAACTGCATAAATAACTTTGTAATCCCATATAAATATACAGGATTACAAAGTTATATTTGCAGTGAATGAATCAGTGTACCTATATATACATATTATATATAATATAATGGATTAATAGGTGTAGATATGTACCTAGATATAACTATGTACAAAAAGAAATGAGATGCCATCAAAAACATAACTTGTAAAAAAAGCCAAGTCTCGCAACTCAGTGCTTCTACCGTAAAAAGTTGTGAGATCCATGTAATACCAAGTCGGTTAATTTATTTAGTACGTACTTAAGGGTCCTTCTGTCTTAAATTATTACGTAATTAGCTAACCTAACAAAGTCTTATAGTGACCATATCAATATCAAAAACCTTTTAAGTTTTAAATAAATAAATTGACTTGGCAATCGCACTAAACAATCAAATTTAATATAATAAGTCAAAGTGAATGTAACACCACGAGACTTAACGACATCTTAAAATTGAGTAGAGTTTGATATTTGAGGGTCTATTAACTTCTACTTCATGTGTGCAAAGTCGACACTAATGTATACCATAGGAAAAAATAAATAACGAGTTTCCTGCACTGGTCACACTGACGGTTTTAGCAACTCCCAAGTCCCAATCGCCATTACTCGTTACGGAGTAATAGTGTTCTGTGATTTGGCCGTAAGCTTGTTAAATTTTATATTTCTACGTTGACTCACCCGTGTCCATCAAGAACATGTTCACAGCCAGTAAAATCGTCGACAGACCAATGAAAGTGCATCTGTTCGAATATGTACTCTCCTATTAGTGGTCCGCCGCTAAGACGAGGTCGTGCCGCTGTGTCGAATGTGAAATACGCTGTAATATAAAAATGTACATTTCATTTGATAGGTTAGGAAGAAAGGTAAACTCAGGGTACATTCAATTCTTATGGTGAAGTAGTGAAGAAAAGTACAGAATCACCGCATTGAAGGCTAGTAATTTTCCGCTTACTTTTCGCTAGTTAGGACTGACATAAAGTTGTTTGTTAAACACTGTAACCATAAGAGAAGAGTTTTTTAAGTCTTTTAAGAATATGTGTAGGTTTATAAAGCATTTTTTAATGTACAGGGTGGGTAATGTACTATAGGTTATCTTGAGGTTGAAAGGTTTGACGACATTTCCCATGTGACAGAAAGTTATTTTTATGTTTGACATTTATGAAATGGGTAGCCATAGATTACTGTATAATATACAGTAATCTATGGAAACCCATTTCATTTGATTTTTATATATAAAGATATTATCTTTATATATAAAAATCACGTGTCACGTTTTTTGTCCGCGATGAACCCTTAAACTATTGAACTGATTTCAATGAAATTTTGTACACTGTGTGCAGTTTGGTCGAACTTGAGAGATGGGATACTTTTTATCCCGATAGTGACCCTAAATATTTTTTATTGCGAATTTAAGTCGTTGGAAAGGACAGAATAACGTCTGCCTGGCCAGCTAGTATATATATACTAGATGTGGGTTACTTTTAGCTTCAAAAAAGCTGGGAAATATTAAATAAATCAGACATCTACATCTATCCTCGATTACGCATCAAAATGCACTATGACTAAGATGGAATGCCTCGTTTCCAGTAAAAAGGGTCTCCGGTTCTCTACACTCACCATACGAAATACAGCAGCGTTAAGCTGCTATTTTACGCTGGTATTCTGTGAGAGATAAAATGAATGTGCCAAAAACGCAGCTTGTGGGTCAATTTGTGAAGCGAGTTCGTAAAACTCGATCGTTGTTGGATAAAAAAAACTAGTGTCCGACCGAAACAGGATTTTCAACCGAAACCGAAACCGAAAACGAACCTTCGGTCTGGGTGTCAGTTTCGGCCGAAACCGAAACCGAAATCGAAACTTATTTAGACATGTTAATTTTTTTATTGTATACTGAAATCTGGTATATTTTTATACATATACAGATAGGTAATGAATGTTAATGAAAAACAGTTATTGTAATAGTCATGTAGCAATATATTTATTTAATTTAAAGTAAAAATCAACAACTTAACTCTAAGAAATACTTTTTTAAGTCAATTATGTAAAAAAAAATCAACACTTACACACATAAAAAGTTACTCGCTAATTAAGAACATATTTTATTGTGTTCATAATATTGTTAATATTATTCAATGAGAGCATTAACTTAATATAATATCACACTTACACACAATATACACACCAACTTAATAAAATCCCGGAAAATATACAAAACCTGCTCAAAATTCAAAAACTTTAATAAACTGAGTTTGTATAAAAAGTGTTATTATAATATTAAGGAATTTATGAATGATAATTACCCCTGGGAATAAGGTGATCACTACCAAGCTATTTATAATTTTTTTGTGTTGTTAATTGTGTTACATACATACATGATTATAGGAGTGGCTTAGCTAGGCGTGGGCGAAGTGGCCCCTTAAAATGCGATGCCCCCAGACTTTACCACAGATGACTAATTACTTTGACCATTTTTACGCTCGAAAAAGAAAGTCACTAATTTAAGTGTTTGGGAGAAGAACAAGAAGCCCTTCTTAAATGCGACAACGAGGCCGTTGTAAATATCTTCAAAGATCGCGATTGTTATATCGACGGAATACGAGACTTGTCAGGAATTAATAGATATGAGTAGGAGTAGGACACTGAAAGTTCTTAGAAAATCAAAAACTGAACAAACTAGCAAGTTATTAGTTTTATTATATCTTTTCAAAATAGTGTCCATTTACATCAATACATTGCTGCATCCGATGGAACCACTGAGAAAAGCAATTTGCCCACTCGTCCGTAGGGGTCTCTTCGATGGAATTTTAAAACGCTGCCACTGCTTCCTCGCCGTTCATAAAACGTTTTCCTCGAAGTTTTTCATTTAATTTCGGAAATAAATAAAAATCGTAAGGTGCGAGATCGGGGCTCTAGGTCGGATGACCCAGTATTTCCACGTCTGACATCGCCAAGTAGTCGATTGTTTGCTTGGCGGTGTGCGACGAGGCGTTGTCGTGGTGAAGCAGTATCCTACTGCGAGGTCGTTTCTCCCGAACTTTTTCCAAGACAAGTGGCAAACAATTGTTAGTGTACCACTCTGCAGTAACTGTTTTTCGATTCTCTAAAAAAATTGTTGCGTAATGACCTGTCCTTCCGAAGAACGAGGCCACCATCCTTATTCCCACGCTTCGACCTCTCTTCACTTTCGTTGGCAACTCCTCGGAAGGAAACACCCAGACAGCAGACTGTCTCTTACTTTCACCCGTAGGTATGTCGAACACAGCATTTGAGTCACCTCCGTTAAATCTTTGAACCATTTTACGACACCTATCAACACGACGAAGTTTTTGGGTCTGTGTCAAATTATGAGGTATCCACCGGGCACAAAGCTTCCTGACCGCTAAATGTTCATGGAGGATTTTGTACACATGTCTATATCGATGCCTAAGCTTGTCCGAATCTGCTGATAAGTCACTCTTTTGTCAATCTCTATCATACGTGGCACAACACTGATTTTATCTTCAGTCGTCGCCGTAGAAGGCCGTCCCTCACGTAGATCATCGGTGAGATTAGTGCAACCACGTCTAAACTCATTAAACCAGTTGTAAACAGTGACTCCAGATGGTGCTTCATCGTGAAAGGCCAATCTAAGTCTATTATAACTTTCTAGTTGACTTAAATGACATCGAAATTAATAAAAAATCATTGTACGAAAACTTTCTCACGTTAAATTCATGCTGACGTCACAGACAACTTTGAATTTGCCTACAAATCGTAAACAAATGACAAATTAATAAAATACTCACACAATAATATTGGAAAAGAGTTCCATTTTCAAAATTTGAACTTATTTTTTTATTATATTGTTTACAAGTGGCCAGCTCTAAAAACTTACAGTGTCGCCCTCGTATGTCGTGTCAAAGCATGTTTGGTAGGATAGATCTATTGGGTAGACCCTTGGAACGAAAGAAAAGGGGCCTCGCTGATGCAATTTCGCCCACGTTTATATTAATTAGCTCACGCTACGCCTCTGATTGTAAGCTGTTATTTAAAAAAAAGTCCTGGGTTTCTTGCTGGTACTCTGAATCTTCGGTCGGTCACTAAAAAAAACCCATGTACGTACTCGTCCAGTGCGCTCAACCGAAAACATCGCTGCTGTTGCTCAGTGTGCGTGAACAACCATCAACATCAACTCGTCATCGTTCTCAAGAATTGAACATTTCACGCACTTCTTTCAGAAGAATTTTGCATAAAGATCTCGGTATGAATGCGTACATAGTTCAATTAGTGCAAGAGCTGAAGTCGCGTGACCATCCGATGCGTTTTCGGTTTGTTCAATGGGTCGAAGACTGCTTGATCGAAGATGAGCATTTTTATCGAAAAATCATCTATTCAGTTGAAGCTCATTTCCACCTCAGAGGATAGTGATTAATGTATCGATAAGTCGCGTATCCTTATTTTTCTAACAAGTGACTTGCCCCGGCTTCGCCTTTATATTATTTTCTAAGTGGCGTTATTTAGATTACAGATGGTAGACCATTTATTTTATCAACTTTTTTAAAAACATTTTAGTCTTACGAATAAAATTTAGCCTATATAGCATCTGACGTTGTTATATATCTGTTCATTAAGTTTTATTACAATCAGTTCAGCCATTCCAAAGATTAGTCCCAACAGACAGAAAATTTAAAAAAAATGGTTGTTTATGTCTTCATATCACGGAAAGAACCTCCTGAGCTTAATAGAAGCTAATGATTTCAATATTACGGACAGACACTCCAATATTATTTATATGTATAGATGTATAGATAACATGTTATATTATGTTTTATGACAGTGACAGACCTTGAAAGCTTAATTTACAAAACAATTTTATCTTATCATTTTACTAACCTATAATAATTTGATATCGATCGTCTAGAATCAAACGTGCTAATTACAGGGTATTGAGTTATATGTACTACAAGTACGATTATAATTCAATGTTACAGGGTTGGTTATTTTTCAGGAGGGCAGTATGAGGTTTAACAAGTTATTATGAAGCTTTGTGAATTGTTATTGTTTCTATACCATAATTATTAGTTAGATTATTTACCTATGTAATACTTAATTTCTAATGTAATTATTAAGTTTAGTCGCTTTAGGGTGTATGGGTTGCTACTAATCAATATCCAAACACCTTACTAAAGTCGAAACATCCAAAATTCATATTTATAATATTTACAGCATAGATATCTGTATTTCAATACAAAATTCAAATTAAATTATTTTAATCAGACTTACCTTTAGTTAAATCAAACAGGTATTAGTGAAAAATGTTAGGAACAACGTATTCGATTGGTCACTAACACTGTCTTTAAAATAACACTTTCTAACACTGGACGGCTCCGTGGCGCAGTGGTTTAGCAATGAGTTGTTGCCCTGGGTGCCGCGGGTTCAAATCCCGCGCGGAACAAGTATTTGTATGGCCTACAAATAATTGTTCGGGCTCTGGATGTCTTCGTGCAATGTTTGTAAACTGCCTCCACGATACAGGAGAAAATCCTAGTGTGGGGGTAATATTAAAAAAAAAACAAAACAAAAACTGTCTTTCATTATCGCAACAATCTCTATTATCATCACTATCATTACAGGCGTTTATAAGTCCACTGCAGAACATAGGCCTCCCCAAAGGAATGACACAAATATGATTCATAGTCACCTGCATCCATCGACTTCCTGCACGTCTTACCAGTTCGTCACTCTATCTAGTGGGGGACCGGTTTAAACTTTGCTTACTGGTACGAGGTTGTCACTTGAAAACCTTTTTTTCCCACTGGCTGTCGGTTCTTTGCGCTA